AAAACCAAACCAACCAACCAAACAAACAAACGAAAAAAAAACCCAGAGGGTGAAGTGGAAACTGGAAGATTCTCTTCCATTGCCATTGAGAAGGTGACAATGAGTAGAGGTGCAAACAAGTCAACTCCTGTGAGGAATGCTGTGCATAGCTCTGTGTAGCTGTGGCAGGAAAGCTAGGTCCTTAGGCCTATGAGTTGGCCCTGGAGTTCAATCCCTGGAAGCCACACAGTGGAAGGTGAGAACCAACTCCTGCAAGTTATCCTCTGACTTCCACATGCCCACTAAAACACACACACACACACACACACACAAACACACACACACACACACACACACACACACACACCACAAATATAAACAGAAAAGAAAACCAGATTTTTTGAAACACACAGATGGAACTATTCCTGATGTTGCTGAATAAGGCGTTGGGCCAGGAGACGGAGTTCAGGAAGAGCCAGCTCCCTCTGAACCATTATTCATTCTCTAATCCTTTGCAGTGATAGTTTGTTTATATTTTAACAAATACAACTTGCCTGAAGATCAGAGTGCAGAGCTAAGCCACTAGAGGCCAAGGAGTGGTGATACACACCTTTAATCCTAAGACTCGGGTGACAGAGACAGAATGATCTCTGTTAGTTCAAGGCCACCCTGGGCTACACAAGATTGAATTGTCTAAAAGAGAAGCAAAGTTCACACCAAGGTGATTTCAGCACTTGGGAGTTGGAGACAGGAGTTATATGGCTGTGGGGGGGGGGAGAGGAATATATACAATAGGAGAAAACTCAGCGCAGTCTGAGGTTTGGTGCAGACGTGCATTCTGGAATAGAGTCTGAAGACAGGATCGCCCCTTTGGTCTAAGCATTGGCAGAGTTAAAAGAATTCTCTGGTGACTGGAACTCGGCTTCTCTGATCCTTCAGCTTTCACACCCTAATATATACCTCTGGGTTTTATTTATTAAGACCAGCTAGAATTCGTGCTACATTCCTTAACCTGGGTCTGAGTCTTGGTTCAAACTCGCTGAAGACATGAATCAGCTGGGCTAAACCTAGAATAACTGTTTCTGCTAATGCATTTACATTGAGAACTAAATCTTTCATTCCCCAATCGACCTTTTGTGTTTATTTGCTTCAAAAGGCTTTAGGGGCAGCGGTGTGAATTCTTCTGCCCACGATCCATAGGTTTCAGGTAGTTGACACCTGATTGGAAAGATGCTCTGGCTTGGGGTTCAGTTTGGTTTGCCTGGAAGCAGTGGCGCCTGTGGTTAGTGTTCCTGCAGAGGAGAAGGACGCCTCTCGCTCGTGGTCACCATTTCCACCAGGCGAAGGACTGGATGACAGCACACGTCAGGTCTGGCAGAGCTGCCACCTCCAGGTTTTAAACAAAACAAAGAAAATGTTGTGGCGAGGAGTGCCATTCTGGTTGTGAAGAGGGCTCCCAAATGCAGCAGGTTGCAGAGTTTAGAGGGAGGTTTCAATGTTAGAAGAGGATCACTTGGATCAGAACCTGCCATGACCTCATTCCTTTCCCACTGTGGCCTCATGGGAATTTATAGTAAGTATTAAGTGTCTTAAAAATTCCCTGTCTCTAAAACTTCTGGAGATAGCACCACACTTGAACAAAAGGGACTCCTCAGAAGACCATATTGAGTTATTTACAGAAAGGGTGGCTACTCAAGCTAATATGCAGGGTATTTAAGTGCGCTGTTCTAATTTCCTGTTTTGAAGGTGCAGGCTTGGCTCCACTGTCCAGGGGAGGAGTTGAGACACTTCTGTGATGTCTCAATGAGGTGCTGCCTCACCACTCCAAAGACTAGGAATGATGTTTTATGACCTGTCATAAAGAGAAAAACTAGTCTTTAAAATCTATCATTTTTGTCTTTGGGGGTCTGGAAATAGAAGGACTCTCCTGAAATGGGGGTACAGTGAAGGTGATGGGGTGGATAGGCCCAAAGTACCTTATAGACGGAGTGACAATGCAACAACCAAGCCCATTGTTTTCCACAAAGACCTGAGTTCTGCTCCCTGCACCCACACCAGGTGGCTCACAACTGCCTATGACTCCAGCTCCAGGGGATCCGATGCCCTTTTCTGACCTCTGTGGGCATCAGGCACACTCGTGGTATCCATATATCCATGTAGGCACACACTCACTTAAAAAAAAAAGTCTAAAAAAAAAACCTTTAAAAGATACCCTCCCACTCAACCTGCAGCAAAGATGAGCAAGAATTAGGGCATTAGGTGGGGTAGAACTCAGACTCAAACAGAGCTGTGTGGAGAACTCTGTCACTCATTTATTTGGGGGTACTGGGCATGGGCACCATGGCGTGCATGCGGGGATCGGAGCACCATTCCTAGCATGTGTCCCAGGGGTTGAGATCAGGTCATCAGGCTTGGCAGCAAGTACCTTAGCTCACTGAGTCATTTCTTCCCAGCTATAGTTGAATTTTCACTGCGAGTTTACAGTTAGAAGGTCAATGCAAGCTGGGTGGCAGCGGCCCACGCCTCAATCCCGGCACTTGGGAGGCAGAGGCAGGTGGATCTCTCTGAGTTCAAGACCATCCTGGTCTATAGGGTGAGTTCCAGGACAGTCAAGGCTATGCAGAGAAACCCTGTCTTGAACACACACCCCCACAGTCACACAAACACACAAGAAAGAAAGAAAGAAAGAAAGAAAGAAAGAAAGAAAGAAAGAAAG